GGGGGTGAGGGTGGTGCAGGGGGTGAGGGTGTCAGGGGTGAAGGGTTGTGCAGGCGGTGAGGTGGCCAGGGGTGAGGTGCGCTTGAAAGCGTCCCTGAGACCCTGCGAAAGATGAGGCCACATCACCTCCTTCCCATCCCAGCAGCCCGGAAGGGGGCCATTAGCACCCCGCCTACTGTATGAGGAAACTGGCCCCTGAGACAGCCTGAGGTGGACTCGGATGCATCTGCGCTTCGCCCGATTGCCCGTTAACAATTAACCAGAAAAGCAGGCCCGAGCTCTCGGAGGCGCCTAGATGAGGACTGGGAAGGTGCCGCTCATTGCAGCTGGGCTTGAGAATGGGGACGACCCACGAGGACTAGGGCGGGCAACTCCGACGCGCCCAGGGGCCACCAGGAGAGGCCGGAGCGCACAGGTCCTGTTCCTGGGTCTGGGGCGGGCGGCTGCGTCTCCCCAGCTCCCAGGTGAGGCCAGGGGACTGGAGGGGGTGGGTTTCTGGAAGAGCTGGGTGTTAAATGATTTGGGGACAGGGAAGGGGGGCCGACAGCACCAGCCATGGTTTAGCTCAGCAGTCGCCAGCCTTTCGGACCTCATGGACCACAGTGGCGACCACTGGTTTAGCTTTTTGAGTCCCAGATCCCTTTAAGAATCAAATCAAACCAGGCCCTCCCCTCAGGAAGGCACAGGTGATTCTACAATGTCAGAGCCCACTTCCCGGAGAACCTGACCGTGAACATGAGCGCAGGAGAGCGACAGGCCCTCTCAGAAGAGGGACAAACAGGCGTGATGCTTACAGAGGCGGTGGCACTGGGACTCGGGCCCGGGTTTGTCTGAGCCCCAACCTCATTATTCTCATTGGATGAATCAAAAGGCCCGACGAGTAAAAGCCATGACTCCCCACCCCCAGCGCGCACAGTAGGTTTCATGTTTCCTGGGATTGGAAAGAGCCTTCCAGTTCCCGAAGTGGGTTCGGGTACCCTGCTGTGAGCCCCTGTTCCAGCCAGGAGGGGAGGGGCCGAGTCATACCCTCACCTACTCGCCCAGCAGCCAGCCAGATGCCCACAGCACCGCCACAGAGGGTGTGCGGTCGTCAGCCCTTCCCCACAGCCAGGACCAGCAAGACGACCCCGCCAGCCTCAGGCTTGTTCAGGGCAGGGACCAAAAGCCAACCCCGCTGTCGTCACACACCCTTTATTTCTAAAGACAGTTCATCTTCGGGCTCTAAATTAAATAGACTTGCTCCCCCAGATCTGGAACACAGCCCGGCAACCCCAAGTTCGTCTTTGTTGAGCTAACTGCCCACCAACCTCCATGGCCCCGTGGATCAGTGTCCACTGAGCGGTGCAGAAAGCCCTTGCCCCCCCCTCTTCCTGAACCCCTGCCACCTTCCCCCGCACCTCACTGAGCTCAGGTTCAGGGGCCCCACGGAAACATTCCAGACCTACACACGGTTTTCTGAGGCTCCTCACCTCCGAGACACGGACAGAAACCCATCAGCCCCGCCTCACGTGCACTCACCTGGCCTGACTGGAGACACCTGCCGGGAGGAAGGGGCGGACCAGATGGTGGGAGGAAGGCATCCGAGGAAGCGCTGCCCATGGTCTGGCCCACAAGCATCCTCAGGTGGCTCCAGGTGAAGGAATCCTTTTTCAGGTCCCAGGGCCGGCCCAGCGCGGCCAGAAGTCCAGGTGGGAAATGAAGCCGGCGTTCACACACACGGGCAGCCTCTGCCCTGCCCCCACCCCAGGAATTCCAAGACGAGGCCAGCGTTTTGAAAAATATAAAATTTTAATAAAGGCTACATCTCTTAATTACAATAATTATTGTACCAAGTAATTTTCCTTAAATGAACTCTTTATAATGCATAATTTACAGTATAAGTAGAACAAAATGCCATGGCAAAAGTCATTGAGTACAAGACTTGTAATAAAAAGGCATAAAATATATTTATACATAAACCCCTTTCAAAAAACAAGGGAAAGCTCGAGCCCTCAATATAGGGCGACACACGGATGGGGACACCGTGCAGGTACAGGTACTGTACTGATTCAGTCAAGCACTAGAGATAGTGGATTAATACTCCTTCGCCGGACGATATATACAGACGTATAGTACAGGTAACAGGGCAAACAGAATGTACAGATTAACTTAATACAAAAACCCGGAGGACAAACGAAGGTGTCGAGGACAAGGTGCTGCCAGGTCTTCCCACAGCTCTTCGCTTCTTTGCAGGGCAGGGGTAGTTTCCAGAATGGCTGTGGCCCAGAGTTAAAAAAAGAAAAAAAGAAAAAAGGGGGCTAGAAGGATTTATTCCAATAAGCGCACGGCGAACCGCGAGGTTCTTTGCGGGCCCCAGGCACTGAGCGCTGGGCCTTGGTGGGGAGCTGGAGGATGTTACGGGATGACTTGGGGTCCCCAGGAGAATCCCCCCCCAACTCAGCAATGAACATCCAACAAGGTGACCCCCCAAGTGGCGGGGATGTTGCAACGTGAGTCAAACCTCAAGGCCTTTTTGACAAAATACAGCAGCACAGAAAAAAAAAAATGCACCGATTTCTGCGTGTCAATGGCAGGGCACCACTAGAAACAGCTATCTTCACTTGGAGAAAACGCAGGGCGACGCGCGATCCCTCTGGTAACGAAGAAACCATCCCTGCACCCCGAGCTCAGCTCCCAAGTTTAGATAGAACCCCGAGAAACTTCCTGCCTCCCCTTCCGTGGCGTAAGCAGCATATC